TATATATATATATATAAATATATAATATATATATATATATATATATAATGCCATGCCTTTGCTCTGTTATAATCTACCAAGCCACTAAACTGATTTAACAGTATGACAAAACTGTATCGGCAAAGGCATGCGTCAAACAAACTCAGCAGGGGGTCCACATGCTGCCTGCCCAATGTCAGGATGATTTAGACCCCAGGTGCCGAACGTGCGGGGAGGGGGTACGTCTCTCTAATCCAGTTTTACACTTTCCCACGTTTTTTGACAAATCTGTTCCTTTCAATTCCCAAATGCTAACTGACGGGAGCCTTTGGACCTCGGTTTTTGGATGGGGTCAGCAGCCTGCAGCGCGACACAGGGGACAGGAGCAAGCGTTTGGAAAATAAGTGGACAGGTATAAAAATATGGGGGAAGAAATCTTATAAAGTAGTGGCGCTGTATGGAATGGGCCTGTGGTGCGGCACAGGGGAAGGTCACCGACTTTTATCCTTCAACAGTGGCCCTTAGTCTTTCGTTTACTTTCTTTGATGTTGGAGTCCTGCTTGTGATTTTCAGAAAGGGGAACATCATGTTGAGAGGCTAAGGATAGGTGAGGGTGCTCTGCTTACTGAAAGGTAGTCGACTATACTCTGTTTTATGCTTGATGACTTGTTGAACTTCAGTTTGATCCACACGTGGAACAGGGAATAATCTGCTAACCCGCTGGTTAAAGAACATGCTGAACTGTTTTGTGTTTCAATACACTGCCCCGGAAATGTATGCAGGAATGAGAACTCGGTTTAAAGCTGGATTTCCTGCTGATTTATCACATTTTCTCTCCCTTTCTTCAGTCTTCGTCAGCCTCAGGGGCCGTTGCTAGTACTGTCTCTTGGCCGGGCAGAGACAAATACCAGAGCAATGTGAAAAGAATATTTAATATCATCCAGTGTCATCCCATTAAAACAGCCCTTTTCTTCTCTACCCCCTCACTCTCCCTGCATCTCCAAGCAGTCATCTTAGCCCCTCGGGATTGTTCAGACTACAATGTGCTGGAGGCGAGGAAGAACGGCGTGTATCGGGTGACCCCTGATCCCCGCAACGGCACATTTGAGGTCTTCTGTGACATGGAGTCTTTTGGAGGTGGTTGGACCGTGATACAGCAACGGCTCGATGGGTCTGTCAGCTTCAACCGCACCTGGGCCGAGTATAAGAAAGGCTTCGGGAACCTAAGGTAATGGGGCTTGTGTAGCATTCCTAGGCTCCTCTCAAAAGATGTCTTAGGATGGGGGAAAACGCTTGTTCGAAACTTAAGTGTGTAAAAGCTGAATTTCACTCTATTATAAACAATATGAGGTTTAAATACCACATACAGTAGGTAGAAGATGGTGGAGTTCAGATATGACCACAAAAAGGTTATATTGCAGGGTGGTTGATGTGAGGAACTGGAAAACTGTAAGTCTGAGAAAATGTGATGGTCAAATTTTTATTTGTTTCTTGTAAATCTCCATAACTTATGGGAGTGAATTACAAAAACGTGGCAAAACACAAACCCCAAAAACAACTTTGAACTCAAGAAAATCCCCAACTAAAATCCAAAGCTTCACAGCAAGCTGCACCTGCTCCCCCACAACTGTGGGAGCCAGAAACTGCTCTTTTATCAACTTCTCAGCCTCACCTCACTGGAACCTACCATCTGCTCAGGGAACCATGGGGGTGAACTAGACCGATACACATCTTTTAAACAATACACAAAGCATTAATTCAAGATTCCTCTCTTACTGGAGACAAGCAGAATCCATATTTAGGACCTACGCACACTCATCAGTGCACCAACTTTAACATAATGTCATTTGTTACAAAATAGTTTTACCCTTCCTCCCCAGTGCCTAGTCACTCAGTGCTGGGAGGACCTAACTATGCACACCTGTTCCCGCTATCACTGATTGTTCACCACCTGTTTTCACCATCACTCAAAACAACTAAATGAATAGAACTTACCACCTTAGAACTTTTTTACAGATAATAAACTTGTTGACTAAAATGAATGATTGAAGTTTGAAAATTGAACAAAACAAAAATGTGTTGAGAAAATGGAGGGAAGCAGCTTTGTCATACTGACGATATTTTGTTTTAACGCAGTGCCTGTACTATAACTGGATTCAAATTTCAGCAAATTTTCTCTATTCCTCTCTGTACTCCTGTTGGAATAACCAATAGTTACCTCTTGATATTCATGCCTACAGATCTATCGTAACCTCCCACTGAAAGAATAATGTCTCCTCTCATCCTTCTTTTACTGACACATCACTCTCCCCTTGCATCTCCTCCTTTCCTCTCCTCCCCTCTGGGGATAAATTACTTAAGATGTACTGTAACTACTTTCTCATCAAGTATACAAGCATGTGAGCCTGTAAATAATCTCTCATTTGACTTTGTCCTATCTCCTCCTTCCTCTACCTTTCCCCTCTGCTGTAGAAGTGAGTTCTGGCTGGGCAACGACCATATCCACTTGATGACGAAAGCCAAAGACATGGTCCTCCGCATCGAGCTGGAGGACTTTGAGGGTGTCCGGGAGTATGCAAAGTACGACCAGTTCTATGTGGCCAATGAATACCTTCGCTACAAGCTGTCGATCAGTGGATACAGGTACAATATTAGATTCTAATATGTGTGTGATTAAATATTCATAAGTAGGACTACATTATATGTATATATAAATATATCCATGTGTCTTTGTAGTGGGACAGCTGGGAACGCCATCATTTTCAACAAGCACTTCAACCATGACCAGAAGTTTTTCTCCACGCCCGACCGCGACAACGACGTGTATCCCTCCGGAAACTGCGGCGCCTACTACAGCTCCGGCTGGTGGTTCGCTGCCTGCATGTCCGCCAACCTCAACGGGAAGTACTATCACAAGAGGTACAAGGGAGTCAGGAACGGGATCTTCTGGGGAACATGGCACAACATGTCGACAGAGTACTACCCTACTAACTACAGGCAGGCCTTCAAAACGGTCAAGATGATGATTCGGCCCAAGAACTACGCTCCTTAGGAGGACGGCTAAATATTTAATATAGTCAGACGAACAGATAGATGGACGAACACAGACAAAGACAGACAGAAAATGGATGAACAAGTAGAAACTCAGACACTCATACACATGAGCATAGTCAAGCATTTGCACACATTTACACATGCATACGTGTACACCGGAAAAGCAACTTTAAGCCCTTTAGACCGTTTGAATGCAGTAACAACAACAATAATTGAGAAGAAATGTAACTGTGCCATTACTTTTTCCCACTGCAGTGAGTGTGGCCTTCAAAATGTTGGATTAAAATGATGATACTAAAGGACAATGGACTATGAATGATGATGGACTCATAAAAAAAATAAAAAAGCACATGCAGTGTAAAGGCCAGCCTCCTGCAGGGGGCCATAATATTATACGGAGGGTTACAGTGAAAGATTTTTCACTGTTTCTCTGACATTTTTCCACTTTGTGTCCTGCTGCCTCCTGCTATAAACCCAACGGAGACACAGCACAGCACACAGTAGCAGTAAAAACTAATGAGCTGTCATTTTCTCCGCTCTAAATGGTTTAATAATTAACAGCAGCCACTCAAGTGAGGGATATGAGAGCTGATGAAACAGTTTTGAGTGGCTCTGAAATCCATTGTAAACGACTTCATGCCGGGGTCAGAGTCAAACCGTTCAAAAGAAATTTAAAAATAACTACAGCAAGTGATATACTACACATGTTGGGCAGCAGTGCACTTAATGGCTTCTGTGTCGTTTGTTTAATTACACTGGGACACTTTGCTAATGTACTGTCATCCTGTACAATATAAAACATCCCCCGTATGAATATGCAGCCTGAGATACAATTTCCATTGGATCATTTCCGAGTACATTCTGCATTATTGACGCTCAAGTAAATTCTTCGTGACAGCAGCCGTGGAGTACGACACTGCTGCAAGGAAAAACTGTTCCAATTGTATTTCCACCGTTATCTCTAGCAGCACTGAAGTACTGCTCATCTCTGGATGTCGCACACCAGTTTTCACATGTAGAAAAAAAAACAAAAAAACATCCCTGAATCACCACTTGTACAATACTGCCGCCTAATGTTAGAAAACTGTATAGCATCATTTAATCCATCCTATACACACACACACTGTGAATGGGAAGGATGGGGAGAGAAATGTTTCACTTTAAGGACGTGTACAGTATTTATTTTATTTTGTGAGGTATGATAGATTTTATATAATACATAGGTCATAGAATCCAAGGTCTAATTTGTTGACATTTGAGCAATGATAAGGTGTGCATTATTGTGACCATTTATAGTAATTATGTGTGTATTTGGAGCTTTGCGTGTACAATATTGATCTTTTCTATCATTCATATTCAACTGTCATGCCAAAAGATATGCACTTTTTATACAAAAAATAATAATAAAGTTCTATCTACATGGCTGTGTACATTGCAGTGTTTGGTAGGTTGAAATCGTATCCATGCCCGCTCATCTTTATGCAAGCATCTTTAATGAATGTATACAAAAATGCATACGCGTTTAACATGAGTATCCATGAGAAGAAATCCCAGAAGTGTGGGCTTATTTGACGGCTGTAAAAATTGAGGGATGAGGACCATAATAAATGGGTTAGTGAGGCGCTGACTCAATAAAACGACCCAGTCAAAGAATGAGTTCACATCAACTTCACAGAAGATTAATGACCAAACTGTGGGACTGTGAATTTAATGTCAGTCCATTAAGTTAATAAAAAAGTATTGAGCTCATCCACATGATGATCTCAAGTTTCGAGTATTCACTTCTGCTTAAACATTAAACGTTGTAAGAGTACCAAGTGATATTCTACGCATCAATTTAGCTGGAAAATGAAATGATTGGGGATTTTTTTCTTTTTTAGTTAGAGTAAATACTGCAACTGTCAAACGTGACGTCTGTCTTTTCTATTACAAGAAATGTGATCATTTATCGACATGCAAGAGTCTTACCTCATCCAGGCACTGGAAAGCAGGGCTCGCAGTAACATCAGTACTAGCAGAGGGATGCTCCTCTGGGAGTGCAGCATCAGGAGCCACTAGAGGGTTGTCCTCCATTCCCCTCTCCTCCTCCTCTTGTTCTTCCACCTCCACTTCTCCTCCATTGGGATTGCTGCTATCCTGCTGCTCCTTAAATAGACTCACTAATGCAAAACATAGAGAGAGATACAGTCGATCAACCAATCATCTATCAACGTACACATAGAGAGGTAGATGATTGGAGGAAGCTGGACAGCAAGGGGAGAGAGAGCAATCTAATTATAATATGGTACTAAACAAACATCAGCAATACGCTACGCTTGATGGATATCTTGCAATATTTGTACTCTCTCTGTAATTTACTGAGAGGTGAACAAGGCTACTGCAAATAATCAGTAGAGGGGTCACAAGGTAATTTGATGCAAAAGGTGCTGTAGCTCAACTACCTGGAAATACTAGCAAACCGGAAATACTAGCAAGTATGGTACATTCGAGTATACAGTAAGTACATTTAAATTGGATTTTTAGTCTTTTTTTGTATAAACGACACAGAATACATAATAATAATTATATGACGATAAATTACAGGCAGAGTAAACAGGGGTATCACTTAAATAAATAAGTGTTACATTTTTGTTGGCTTTTATTGCGAAGGATTAGAGTTGGAAACCTGTTTCCGGGAGATATTAGAATCAAGACACTTGTTTTTGTGATTATAATTTAAAAAATAAAAAAGTAGACAAATGTGCTGTTCGTTATATTACATGCAGTATGCAATGTCATTCGACCGACAGACAGACATATTGACATGCACTTTCACACATTTAAAAACCCTGCTAGTGATTTTCTCTCGCGTTTTAATGAAAAAAATATACTTATAAAATTGTGAAACGTGTGCACATACCGTTAGCTCAAAACTGTACGCGCTATAGTTTACGACTTTTATTTGCAAGTAACATTACTGTGTTTGCGTCGGTGTTCGTCGTAAACAAAGAAATAAAAGATTTACGCAAAAGTCTTACTTTGGAATGTCTTGAATCCTCGCTCACGTCTTCACGACTCCGTGCCTTATTTATTATGAAACTTCAAGACCAAACATACGCATTGAATAACGTTACAGCACGCAGTTAATGTTTGCAAAACTCAATCACGGACTTCTTTCCGGCTGAATGGTTTGTTGTGGTTATCTTAGCAACAAAGTCAGACGTCCCTAATAATGTCCGGTGAAGTCCCTTCTTTTCACATTGATTATTTTTAAACAAGCAATATTTAGCTTTTGTTCCTTACAGTTACCAGTTAATAATGTACAAATATGTAAAAGTTTAAAACAACCCAAACAAACGATCCCAAACCTTATTTCCACACTTGCAGTGACTGTCCAGCAGATGGCGTGAAACAGTAATTGTGGTCTCGCTGCACATCGTGTGTCCTGCTTTGCCAACAGAGACCAGCATCAAAGGTCAGCTGACAGTGAGCACTCTGAATGGAAGCACTAAAATTAAAGTGGATTCAACTGACCTGAATCCAAGGTGAAAGGGATGGTGATGATGCAATACTGCTGTTCCCCTGTTAGCTTCTTTCCCACAGTGCACTCTGGGAGCTGGCACGACCCATTACTCACTCCCTGCAACAGCTGCAGGGATGTGTTATCTCGACAATGTATGTGTGTGCTGCCAATATGTGTGTGTAATGTGCATACAGTATGTATGAAAGCAAGAAGCACCTTCTCCTTAATATCGTGGTCAGCCTTGAACCTCTGTTGGTGATGAATTATGGGAGACTGCTCTAGACTGTGTTTCCTACTTAGTATGTTCCGGATTTACCTTGGATTTACTGGCTGGTGCACAAATGACCTTCCTCTTCAAAGGCTGTTTTCAGTCTTATGTATTTTGTGTCTACAAAAGTTCAGAAAACCATTTTGCTTAGCATTTAGTATACAGAGTGCACTTACAATGAGGGTGAGTGGATTATCGTGTGCAGGAATAAAGGCATGCAAATGAATATGCATAATCTTTTACAACACATGCATGTGGAAAAAAGCCCTGATTGGTTGAGTATTGATGTTTACATGAACACGTGATCTTGCTGAGTTCAACTGACATCATTACAGTAATGCCTTTCACTATTATGCAACTTCAATTCCCTTTAACCTGGACCAATACTGATGGTACACTCCGATGCAACTTGGTTGTTTTGGCAGACAAGGTATGCAATTTTTTTGTGCACAAAGTCAACAACGGACTAACACACCAATAATGGATTTTCTAGTGATTGCAAATGAGTTTGACACATTATTCATAAGTTGGCTTCTGTTATAATGGCACATTTTGTTTTTTTAATGTATAGGACAAAAACTCCATCTGCTGTTTTTCCTTTTGGAGCCAGTATGAATGAAGGCAGGAAAAAAAGGAGAGTGCCATCCTCCTTGTACATGTAGAATTACTTTAAAAATACTTAAAAAAAAAACTGACACTCCAATTAAACCTGTTAATTATGTAGACCTCATATTACCGCCCCTTGTTAAAGCCGAAGAAATCACCCAGGCCTTTAGGTTAAATATTTTTTGTGGCGGTTTCCAAAATTAACATTGAATCCTCTCCAAAAGTCTGTATATGATAACTTTTGAATCCTTGTAGACTCTTGCTTACCTTGTGTTGAAAACGTGCCAATTCTCGTGCCACTAGTAGGACCGCTTTTGGCTTAAATAAAGCATAAGGCCCAGTTTTATAGCTATTTTGAGTGAGAAAAAAAACGTAGAATTGCAAACATATGTGGGAATAATAGAAGGACCCTGAAAGAGTTTTTGCTTCAGGTTACTGTTTGTTGTAAAGTCAGTTATTGATTTACATAAACTGTACGATTCTATAATCAGCTGACTGTATGTTTTATAAAACTGTTTCACCATGTCAACCAAAATTGCTGACTTGAGATTCATGAGTTCGCATGAGTTGCAGTGCTGTGAAGTTTAACGATCTGCAGCAGATGTTGATGATGCATGTGTCAGTCACCAGGGGCAGTTAGCAGGGTGGACGACTGGGATAATAGATAGTGCATGTAGTGGCATGGCTTTAGGCAGTCTGTTGGGTATTCATGCCCCCCTTATGATGAATCATAACAACTAAGGGGATCCTTTGTCTTTTCATCTGGCTGCACCATCAGAACAAATGTTCAATTTTTCCAATCCTTGGATTCATGAGTAAATACATGCAAAACTAAATCACCATAAGCCTCAGCTTTACTTTGTGTTTTGTGCTACATTAGCATGTTAGCATTATCATTGATGTAACATTAGCATGCCGGCATTAGCATTTATGTCAAAGTATGGCTGTACCTATGGTATAAGTACAGTACAGCCTCACAGAGCCACTAGCTGTAGACCCTTAGTCTTGTCCTTAAACATAAAGCAGATTTTTATCCAAACAGTAGGTCTGCTGCCACTCTTATTTTGTGAACTCAGAGAGTAGGTCGAGAACCACAGCAACCATGGGTGTCACATTGTGTGAGTGCAAGTCCAACATGTGTTTGTTTGCTTACTAGCCCGTGCACAAACCAGGCCTTTGGAAAAAAGTTTACTGCTGTATTGGAGTCATCACAAATGCAAATGGTGGTTGGGGGTACGTTTTTACAACCCCCACCACCTCCAGGTTCTTCTCTTTTATGTGTGGTTGGTTGTTGGGATTTTACCATTTTAAATTTCTTAATTAACCCCCCCACACACACACACACACAATGTGCAGTGTTCTTTTTCCATACACAAAATCTGCTGTTACAACGTCTCTTGTCAAAGACTTTGTCCTTCAGACAAGGCGTCTGGAGGGAGTTTATAAACAGATGTTTAAAGTCTCTTAAAACCTTGAAACCAGCTTTTTATTGAAGCCCGGTCTGAATCTTTTGTGCACTTTAAAAATACTATTTGTGTCTTTGAGAACTCTTTCCCTTATTATTCGAAGGCACAATAGAAAGCAAGAGATGAAACTGCATGAGATGTTGTGATTACCGTTAAGTCATTTCACCCCGAGGGATGGAAACGGGAAACTTAATACAACTCCTCATTGTTGGATCTGACTGCATACTGCTGAGTTGACATCCTGTATACAGTATATATTTTAGCACCATCAAATCTGAGTTTAGTACACTAACCTAAAACATAAATCACTGAGAAACTGAGAAGTGCCTTTGGCAATCTGAGAGAGTGATGTCATTCTTCAGACCTCTGTGGAGAGTCCAGGGCATTGTTCCTCGGTGTGTCAGTGGGCAGACCAGAGGCATCAGAGCCCTCCAGCTTGGACTCCTCTGACTCACCACTGTCCACGGTTCTCCCAGACAAAAAAATAAAAACACAGGTACTGAACAGCTGTGTCTGTGTTTTCAGTGTCCTTGTGTTTAAGAATTATCAACTAAAGCCAAATGTGTGAGCAGCAACAA